GAGTCCTTTCTCCTCATTCAACACTCATTCGAGCTCCATTCAGGCTGAACTCCTTCATCTTGATCTGATCCTTTCTGGTTCTGACAGACTACAACTCCCATCTCCTCCAAGCCGTATGGAGGCCCTGTAGAGCAGGGGTCCCCAACCACCGGTCCGCGGACCAGTACCGGTCCGCGGAACAGGTCCTACCGGGCCGCTGGCTTGCTGGGCGCCGCCATCTTTTTTTGATGAAAAAGTGCTTCCGGTGAGCTTTTCCGGGTAGAAAGCTCACCGGAAGCACGTTTTCATCAAAAAAAAGATGGCGGCGCCAGCGCTTCCGGTGAGCTTTTCCGGGTAGAAAGCCATTTCTACCCGGAAAAGCTCACCGGAAGTGCTGGCGCCATCTTTTTTTGATGAAAAAGTGCTTCCGGCGTAAAAAAGGTTGGGGATCACTGCTGTAGAGAGCTTCACCCTTGGGAAGTGGGATGGAGAATCTAATATTTACACATTACGTTTAGCATTACAGCCCAGAACGTAGGAAAGTTGTCTAGGGAGCTAGAATCTAGAGCTAGACTCTCAATTCTAAGAAGAGTCTAGAATGTTGGAAGGTCAATTTCACAAACCTACAACCAGCATGAAAAGACCTTGAAAGACCAAGTCCACACAACTGAGGACTTTGTCCTGTATACAGCTGTACAGAATTGGGGAAAGTGTATGGCAATAGAAGGAGCACGATAACCATAACTGCTACCTTTGGCTGAGAATGAATGCTAGAAATTGACGGAGCACTTGGAATATTCATTTTATGTTTCAATGGGGAAACTTTCCCTGGAAAGCAACAGGTTGAGTAAGAAGCTGAATCCTCCCATTGCTCTTTCTATCTTCTCCAAATTTAAATTTAGGTTTGCACCTTTTCCTGCTGGCTTGTGGGGACCTCACCTGGCGAAGGATGGCCAGGGGTTAAAAGGTACAGAACCTCTCGAGTCATCCAGAGTACTGAAATTCCCTTTTTTTTTTTCAAAAGGGCCTGATTCATTGTTGGGGATGAATTCCTTGCTCCTAATTAGAGAGGCCAAACCTGTAACGTGGACATTACTAAACCACATTCTTGCTTTGAGTGACTCCACTAATCCAGAATGTACACCTGTGAGCCTCAGCATGCTAAGTCTAACACGTGGAATGGGCCCAACCTAGAGAGCTTGTAGGAGACAACTAATCGAGGAGAGAAGCAAACCTAGAACTTAAAGGAGAAATTTCCTGACCGGGAGGACGATGAATCAGCATGACGTCTTGCCTTCAGAAGTTGTGGGTGCTCCATCCCTGGAGGTTTTAAGAAGAAATTGGGACAACCGTTTGTTTGGAGTGGTATAGGATCTCCTATTTGAACAAGGGGTTGGACTAGAAGACCTCCAAGGACCCTCCCAACTCTTGTTATTCTGAGAAGGTTGGGGAGGAACATGGGCCAGTCCTGGAAGCTGGGGAAGGCTCTGACCAGCGCTCTGCATTGGGAGGCAGAGATGGGGCCAGGGCCGTCTGACAGTTATCAGCTGCCTTCGAAGTCAGAGATCACTGGGGAAGAAGAACAGCTGGAGCCTGTTCCCAGTGTGCTCATGCACAGAGCTGCCAGAAGAAGGGAACAGCTAAGGAACAAGGGTTGACTTGGGAGTAAAGGCTCAGGTGGACGGTGAATGGCCCCTCCCAGAGGGAATAAAGAGGAGCAAAAGGGGAGTGGGGTTTGCAGGAGACAATTAGTTCAATTCATTAGGGTGAAGATCTGTTCCTGACTTCTTGCCAAGTATTGTCTTCTACAGTGTGGCGTTTGGAAGATATTGGCCTGGCAACTCTGCCAGCCTGATAAAGGTCTGCAGTTGTGCAATCTCTTGAAAGACTGTTCGCCGGGACTTTGCTGGAGAGGAATTCACTTTAAACTAAATAAAAGCGTTTTTGTGTGGACGAGGAGTTGGCTTTGTGCTTTTGGGAAGCCTAGGTCAGAACACAAACTTTTCCTGGTATTTAGTATCCACAGCCTACAACTCGGGGTCTATGACCATTCACTGCAGCCAACTCACCACAGCCAACTAGTAGTAGGACAAGAGTAACCCTAACATCAAAGAAATGGTGGAATAGAATCATTAAAGAAAGGATCTACGATTGCGCTGAAATGGACCAACTTACTCTAAAATTAAAAGAAAAGGAAGACTCAAAGTATTTTACAGTTTGGGAAAACTGGTACAAATGGATAAATGACAGAAATAAGCGAGGAAATAAGGAATGAATAGTACAAGAAGGATAAGGTATGAGAACAACCAGGAATATGAAGTATGCGTGGGAACAATAACTGATATGTAAGCACCGTCAAAATGGTTTGTAACGTTTACAGTGTTTTTTGTCTTAATGAGTTGTATTCTATTTTGTATTTGATGTTTTTCAATGTTTAATAAAGGTTTTCCTATTTTTAAAAAAAGAGAGGATGCAAAAGGAGGGACAGAATGAAAGGTGCATGACAAACATTAAAATAAATGATGTTTATTTATTTCCAATCGTTAAAATTGAATTGTTAAATTGCCCCATGGCAAGTTGGCCCTGGTTCGGTGTAAATTCGATGGTAGTCTACGAACACTTTTGAACTTCTCAGGCTGTGCAAAGTTACAGATCCTATTTCTATCTTCTGCCTTCCTGTCCACATCTCGACTTCAATGCATTTCATAAAGTACCACATTGGAGAAATGTCTTTGATCGGTTTCAAAGACTTGTAAAATGACAGCAGTTTAAGATAAAACCCAGCCGGGAAGACATTTGATACAACATCTGAAGAAATTCCTTGCTAGTTAACCAAATGAATTCATATCACAGGTATTTTCAAGGGTGTTTAAGCTACAGGTAAAGGCCCCCTTTCATCCCAAGCTTGACTCTTAATCATTTTGTGGACACGAACCTACAGGTTTCTTGCCAATAATAAGAGAAATGGTTGAAGCTTTCTTGCTCATTGCCAAACCAGGTAAAAAGAAGATTTCAAACCTGCTTAACTTTATGAAAAATGAAGCAAAATCAGATAGTTTGGAGGGACTCTTTTGATTAAATTAGGAAGTTCCCTTAAGGAAAAAAGCCTCTCCTTTTTCTTAAAAATTAATAAAAAACTCGTATGGACATATGAATAATTGGATATTTTCCCCCATTCTGCAATTAATCAACAGATGTTTCCAATCTTCCCTCGCAACAAAAAAGAATTGTTGGAAGAAAAACTTGTTAGCACCACCAAGAATGGCGATAATCTACTTATCTCTCTATAGTTTGCTTTAGGGATCCTCCTTGGAATGCCCAGTTTGTAATAAATTCATTAAAGCTCTTTAAAAGAATTGCCCTGATCCTTTACTGGCTTGTTATTCAGAGATGGCTTAAGCAGCGATATAAAAGCGGGCCTGTCATTTGTGACATAATTAATGTTATAAGTCCTCCCTAGTTGCACAAAAAAAATAAAAATAACACCAGCCAGGCATCTACAAGTTTACTGAACTGATTTGAACAATGTGAATATTCTCAGTGCTCGTATTTATCATCACAATAGACTGGAGCTTTTATTGTTCTAAGAAAAGATCACCGCACCTGTCCTCTTAGCACCAGGATAAAGAGAGGAGATTGAGAAAAGGAAATAAATGGAATCTTTATTGCCCAACAGAAGGCGTCATCAATCCTCCAGCCTTCAGCCCCCTTGAATTTCCTCCTTTTTTCTTCTACAGCAAGGATGTCCACCCTTGGCAATTTTAATACCTGCGGACTTCAACTCCCAGAATTCCCCACCTGGCCAAATGCATTCAGAGGGATAGGTCTATGGAGATTCTCAAATCATCCAGGTCATGGTTGTCCCAAATATCCTTTTTTTTTCAAGAGATAAGTGGACTTTGTATTTTTGCTCTGAAGAGGTTTTACTTCTCATCCCAGAAGCTTCCTCAGCTTCTCTCAAAAGCTTCTTCTGCTCTCAGAGTTGAAGAAGCTTCTTGGGTGAGAAGCGAAATGTCTTCAGAGAAAAAATCCAGAAAATCCAGTTGCCTCTTGGGGAAAAAAAAAAAGCACTTTTGGGTTCAGAGAGATGGTTAAATAAATCATTAATCCCTGATGTTTCATTCTCTCAATGCAGGCAGTCCTTGACTTACAATCGTAATGGAGCCTGCCCATTATGGTCAGTAAGTTAAGTCAATACTCGGTTGTTCGTGATGGGAATATTTTTGCTGACAACCAGGAATAAACACTTGTTTTTGGTGGAAACATCATAAAATGTACAAAATGTCTGTGGTCCCGTGATCACAGATGCTGCAAAAATGGCCGTAAATGTGAGTGGTTGTGGAGTCTCCATAATGCAGTCACATGACTATGGAGGGCATATTGGAACATTGGAACTGGGTTCTAGGTCCCTTTTGTCCATCGTACCTTCTGTTGTCAAGTGATTGGACTTAAGTCAAGGAAGAGACTGGACAGCCACTTGTCTCAAATTGTATCGGGTTTCCTGCTTAAGCAGTGGGTTGGACTAGAAGACCTCCAAGGTCCCTTCCAGCTCACTAGTTTATATCTTTAACAGATTAACAGAGTTGGAAGGGACCTTGTAGGTCATCTAGTCCAACCCCCCGCCCAAGCAGGAGACCCTACCCTATTTCTGACCCATGGCAGTCCAGTCTCTTCTTGAAAGCTTCCAGCAATGAAGCTCCCACAATTTCTGAAGGCAACTTCTGTTCCATGGGTTGATTGCTCTCGCTACCAGAAAATCCCTCCTTATTTCCAAGATGAATCTCTCCTTGTTCAGTTTCCATCCATTATTCCTTGTCTGGCCTTCAGGTGCCTTGGAAAATAGCTTGACCCCCTTCCTCCTCTCTGTGGCAGCCCCTCCAATATTGGAAGGCTGCTCTCCTGTCTCCCCTGGTCCTTCTCTTCACTCGCTCAATTCTGATTAATGGGCAATGCAGGCCTTTGCCCTACACCCAACACCCAAGCCGTTCTCACAATCTTTCCCCCAGCAGTTGGCTCTCTGCTCAAATCCTTTGCTTGCCAGCAAGATTCCAGGAGTGAATTCGCCTCCAGAGATCCTTTGCTTTATTATCGAGGGTGTAACCAGAGCCCTACAGAAAGGAGGATCACGGCATAAGGCAGAAACAGCTCAGCAGCTGCTCGTTCCTACATCAGTTGCGGCTTTTGCAACTACAGCTGGCAGGTCACTGAGTGCCCACACTGTTATGGGGCCCCAAAAGTCAGGTTTTAATCTCAGGATACACAATAATCCCTGTAGGTTGGCACCCTATACCCTTCATGGAAAGCCAGGTTGAATATTTTCCTAGGATCTCGCCCCCAACGGCAACTGGATTCACATAGCACTAAACTGCCACGTGGTTGCTTTGATTTAGCCCTCTTTTAGTTTAGTTTAGTTTACTTTATAGTCCTTGTACCTCGTACAACGAAATCAAACACCATCTTCAGTGCACATCATGACCATGAAAATAAACACAAACACACATCGTTCACCCTCCACACATTGAACCGAAACCCCCCCACACCGCACCAACACTGCACTATATAGCAGAATTCAAAAGAGCTACTGCCCATTTTATATATATATGAAGTTTTTTTTAAATTTTCCATACATAATCAATATGTGAACAATATGGCACCTGGGTGTTTTACATTTTAATGCAATTAGAATAGTATTTAATATATATTAACTTTAATAAACTTATATACTTCTCATATTCCTACCTAAATTTATTATTTCCAGAATTCTCATTATTTAGTTTTCAATATTTCAGTCTCTTATTTGCATATCAATCCGTATATTCAATTATCTTCCTTTTACATCCAATAACATGTTATTAAACCTTAGCTATTTCTTTTTCAAATATACTTAATCACCCTCATTCAAATTCTAGTTTCCTTTCTTTATCTTACATCAACTTATTGTTTAAAAAATGTATTCCATTATTTTCCCCTTCCCAATTCCATCTCAGTTCTGACTTTCAGTTATGCCACTACAATTTCCAAAAATATTCCCTAACAGTTTTTTTAAATATAACATTTCATTTATCAAATATATCCTTCCTTTTACCATAAATAAAACATTGATAATCATATTTAATGCATTTAACAAGTCCTTGATTTAGCTCTCTATATGGACCCAGCCTTCAGTAAACCCTAGTTAAACAGACCATAACTTGGTGATGACACAAATCAGGAAACTCTCTTAAATCAACATTCCCAGGTCTGAGGTCCAACTTCTATTTATATTTCCATTTATGTAGCTAGCTGCAGTTCTGGGTGGAGAGCATCAACTCCAAAGCCAACAGAAACATCCTTCCACAAAAGATGACCAGATAATGATGATGCCTTTAAATTAATCTTTTAATTCAGAGGGTTGAAACCACCTTTCTTTCTTCAGCCTGGCTGCACCTGGGAAATGGGTCTCACACAAAAGCAGTGAACAAACGGATCCCAGGACTGAGTTCTCCCTTGAGGGAAAAAATTGATCAGGTTCAAATTATCCTATTTTGGACCCCTTATATAGGGAGATCCAACTCTATGGAGGAGGCTATAATGCTGGGGAAAGAGGAAGGAAGGAAAGAAGAAAAGGAAGTTGTACTGGTGATGATTGTGTTACTCAAAGATTTGAAGGATCAGCTGAGGACAGATAATCCATCTATGTGGCTGCTAAGAGCCAACACTGACCATGGTGTAGTATCCATCCATCCATCCATCCATCCATCCATCCATCCATCCATCCATCCATCCTTCTGTCTATTCACTCATTCACCCTTCCATCTACCCTTCTGTCCATTCACTCACTCACTCATCCTTCCACCCTATCCCATCCATCCATCCTATCCTATCCATCCATCCTATCCCATCCATCCACTCATCCATCCATCCTTCTGTCCATTCACTCACCCACCCACCCATCCTATCCCATCCATCCATCCATCCATCCATTCACTCATCCATCCATCCATCCATTCATCCTTCTGTCCATTCACTCACCCACCCACCCACCCATCTTATCCCATCCATCCATCCTATTCCATCCATCCATCTTATCCCATCCATCCATTCATTCACTCATCCATCCATCCTTCTGCCCATTCACTCACCCACTCACCCAACCATCCATCCATCCTATCCCATCCATCCATCCATCCTATACCATCCATCCATCCATTCACTCATCCATCCATCCATCCATTCATCCATCCATCCATCCTTCTGTCCATTCACTCACCCACCCACCCATCTATCCTATCCCATCCATCCATCCTATCCCATCCATCCATCCATCCATCCATCCATTCACTCATCCATCCATCCATCCTTCTGTCCATTCACTCACGCACCCAGCCACCCACCCATCCATCCATCTTATCCCATCCATCCATCCATCCATCCATCCATCCATCCATCCATCTTATCCCATCTGTCCATCCTATTTCATCCATCCAACCATCTCAAGCCCACCAAGCTAAGCTACTATGTAGTTTTGGGACCGACGGAGTCATTTGTAACCAAGAGGATTTGCTTGCTGACTTCAGATTTTTGTCTTGAGCACCGTTAACAGGTGATATTGGCCAGGTGCCTTTCCCCTCTCCCCCAGAGCAAACCTTTTAACTATAAAAAGAAGTCATCTCTGATTTGGACAAAGCTGGGAAAAGAAAGTTTGCTCAAAACCTTTTTTTTTTTTTTTAAATGCTAACCGCTTTCCCCAAATGAAGATGAGACAGTAACTTAAGTCTTCCTTCTAGGTAAATACAACCTACGCAAGTTTACTGAGGAAGCCCAGGCAAACAGAGAAAGAATGATGTTTTTCTCCACACTCAAAAGAGTTTTCACAGAGACACAGACAGGGAGCCCAAACAACTTATAAGACCGACCTCAAAATTAAAATCCAAAAATGGCCGCAGAGAAATTCAAACGAGGCTTTAAAGCGAACAACCCAGCCACGATTTGCTCTTTGTAAACTCCTCAATCTATTGCAATGACGACCCCAAGAAGATTGAAATCCCTACCCTTCCAGCAAATATCACCCCCACCCCGCAAAAGGACTCAGAGCCAAGCAGGATGGTTGGCAGGAAGGAGGGTGAAAAAAGTCGAACCTACAACGCACACATGCAAAGTTTGCCAGAAGCCTTGGAGCTTCAGCTTCATGAAACAGACTGGAGAAGAGGGGGTGTGGTGGCCTCGAGGTGGAACTCTCACCTCACAATCAGGAGGCTGTGAGTTCAATAGCAATAGCACTTAGACTTATATACTGCTTTATAGTGCTTTTACAGCCCTCTCAGAGCGGTTTACAGAGTTGGCCTCTTGCTCCCAACAATTGGGGTCCTCATTTTACCCACCTCAGAAGGACGGAAGGCTGAATCAACCTTGAGCCTGGTGGGATTTGAACTGCCAAACTGCAGTAGGAGTAACTTGCAGTGCTACACTCTTAACCACTGCGCCGCCGAGGCTCAATCCAAGGTAGAGGCAGATATTTCTCTCTCTGGGCACGATGAGAATATATCTGCTGAACAAAACCCCACTCTGGTGACAGGAAGGGCATCCGGCCAACAAACACTCTGCTAGCTCCATTCAGTTGCCCAGACTCCACCCCGCAAGGGATTCTGGGGTCGTTAAAATGATGGTGATGGAAGAGATCAGGGAAGACGGTGACAGGTAAGGACCATGGTACGTGGACAAAGGACAAAAGCCACCTCTGTGGGCTTACCTGCCGCACCTGGGATGACAACGGGGATGGCTGGACGTGCCGCTGTTGGATCCGAGATGGCTGCATCAACTGGCGGAGCTGCTGCTGCAGGAACTGGTTGTTGTTAACCTGTTGGGTTTGCGGCGAGGTTGCAGCTTGTTGCTGAAGGTAGTGCATGAGTGACTGCTGCCCCGTGGTGGAAGCCATCGGCGACATCTTCTGGGCAGGGGCGGTCTCTGAACTGAAATGGGAAAGGGGCTTGGTATTGCTGAAAGAGAACTGGTCTTGGGCAACAGGACCTTCGCTCCCCAACCCCGGTTGGATACTGTTGGAAGACTGCGTCATGATGACGTTCATGTTCTTGGACTGGATGGACGACATGGGTTTGTAGAGGGAACTTGGCATGTTGGTCGGGTTGCTGGTCGGCGTTGGGTTGGCGATCAAGGTGCTTTGAGGGCTGAAAGGTTGTTGGTGCAAAGCCGGGCTAGAAAGCTTTTCCGGCCTGTACGGCGAAGGTCCAGCATTGGGAGAACTTTTAATGCTGTTGGCTGAAATGTTGGGCATGATGGAGTTGGGCGGGCTGAAGGATTGCTGATTGAGGACCGGACTGGAGAGCTTCTCTGGCCCAAAAGGTGGAGACAGACCTCCGGGCGGGTTACTGTTGGACGTGATGCTGGAGAGCAGGGGGTTTTGTGGGCTCTGAATGTTGCTTCCTGGAAGGCCGTTGGGAGCCATGCTGGAGATCATGACGTTTTGAGGACTGAAGGGCTGGTGGTGGGGAGAAGAGCCTTGGCGGTAAGGAGGGGAAAGGCCTTGAGATGAGATGGTGGGCCAGTTTGGCGGTTTGGAAGTTGGGGTTTGCTTGCTGGCTAAGTGCTTCAACTGTTGGGCGTGCCAATTTGTCCCGGGCATATGGATGGCCTGGCTTTGGCCCTTGTTGGGCGCGGTTGAAGAAATGGGCGAAGCGACAGCCTTGTTCTGAGACGGAACCGAGTAGCTGGCTCCAGAAGAAGGCGTCATCTGCGGGGACTCACCACTTGGGTTGCATCCAGGAGAAAAATCTTTGTTGGGCAGGTGGTTGTCCAAGGGGGTGCCCTGCGGAGAAGATTTGGAAGAGCTGTTCATGGCGGTGGGTGGGTGGGCCAGGTTCCCCATGGGCTCGTCAGGTTTGCTCCCTAAGATCTTCTCAAGGTCCAATTCGTTGGGAGAAGGGTCCGGCATCTTGGTCAACTCTTCCAACAAATCTTGAAGTTCCTGGTCCACCGCGTGAATGTTGCTCCCTTTTTCGCCGTAATGGCCCCCGAGGGGCCCTTTCTGTCCAACGTCCGTGTTCGGTGGGACGGAAAATGGAGATCCAATCCTGCTCCCATTCAAGTGGTTATTTTCAAGGAGCATCCCATGTCCGGGCATGGAGGAAGTCCCGTGATTGGTGGAAAAGGGAGAACTTTGCATATCGGGGCACGAAACAGAATTGGTCCCAGGACCCATGGAAAGCGTGACGTCATCAAGGCAAAGCCGCTTACTCTCGCTTGGGAAGAGGACGTCGGGCATGGCGCCGGAGGCTGGAGATGCGTCATCGGCCACTTTCCTCTTAACGGATCCCTGTAATCACAAGACAAAAAGGGTTTCGTTAAGCAGGCAGGAAACTCTGAACTTCATACCACAAATCTTGGTTTAATGATGAGAGCTTGGTTTGATCTTAGTAGTTAAGGTGCCAGGTTAGAAGCCAGGAGATCGTGAATTCTAGTCCTGGGACATGAAAGCCAGCTGGGTGACTTTGGCCCAGTCCCTCCCTCTCACAACCTTCCTCACAGGGCTGTTGTGGAGAAAATAGGAGGAGGAAGGAGTATTGTGTGTGTTTGCTGCCTTAACTTATTTATACAAATAATAAAGGTAGAATGTAAACAAACCAACTTCCAAAGGCAAATCAAGCGGAAACAGCAACCTTTGGTGACAGATGGTTAGATCTACACCAAAGGTAAGAAGTTTGGTTAAACTTTGGTTAACTGGGTTCCAACCTCTTCTCAAATGCTCCCAAAGCAGATCTTCTCAACTACAGCTAACTTTGATTTCAACCCCAATGCCCCAAAAACCAAAGCTTGCCTTCTTCACCCATTGGCCAAGCCACAATGTGGCTGTGTGTGCTTTACATGTCAGTGTGTCACGCTTTCCCAATCCCCAAACATGGTTTGGCACCCTGTGGAAACCAAGTTTCCAAATTTGTGAGAGTGTTTTCCTCACATCTACCGCAGGTTCGATATTTCTTCGGTTCCAAACGACTACAATCCCTGTGGTCAGAGAGACCGTCACCTCCTCTATAAAGCCTTAGTAAGACCACACTAGAGTAATGCATCCAGTTTTGGTCACCACACTATAAAAAGACGTTGAGACTCTAGAAAAAGTACAAAGAGCAACCAGGATGATGAGGGGACTGGAGGCTCAAACATACGATAAACGGTTGCAGGAACTGGGCTTGGCTAGTCTAGGGAAGAGAAGGACCAGGGGAGACATGATAGTGGTCTTCCAATATTTGAGGGTCTGCCACAGAGAGGAGAAAGGGGTCAAGCTATTTTCCAAAGCCCCTGAAGGCCAGACAAGGAATAATGGATGGAAACTGATCAAGGAGAGATTCAACCTGGAAATAAGGAGAAACTGTCTGACAGTGAGAACAATCAACCAATGGAACAGAAGTTGCATTCAGAAGTTGTGGGAGCTTCATCACTTGAGACTTTCAAGAAGAGATTGGACTTCCATTGGTCAGAAATGGTGTAGGGTCTCCCACTTGGGGGGGGGGTTGGACTAGATGACCAACAAGGTCCCTTCCAACTCTGATTATCTGTATCTATTGATCACAATTTGTAGGAAAAATTGGGATCCTTTCCTGTTTGGTGAACATCTTTTTAGGAAAAGAACTTTACCACCAGGGAGGAACGCTGTCAGCTCTTAAGAGGACATACCACCCTCTCTCTCTTTTTTTTTTTCCCTGCAGAAATTAAAATTTTTCCTCCAAACAATTGAATGCTTGTACAGAAACGTCGCCCAAAGCTGGCAGGGCATAACTAACAAAGGGTATGGAGTTCGTAGGGAGACAGATCAACAATCCGGCATTCCTTACAGGCAGAGCTTTTGAAATAATCTACATACTTTCTAATCCAAGCACAACAATGCAGCCCTAAGTGATCTAAACAGACTCTGGCCAACTACAGATACTTTCTGTAGAAGGGCCTCCAACCCAGAACAGTTTCGAAAAGGAGAGAAACTTAAGAGGCACGACAGCACGAATGTGTGTGAAGACATCTTCACACACACAAATTCTAGTTTAGCATCTAAATCGATGTGACCCTCAGAGACACAGTTGTTTGGGGATCTCGGAATTGGAAGACAACCAAACGTTACATTTTTCGCTGCGTCCAAAGATGACTTTAAAATAAATAAATAGAAGAATGGGTCTCCAAGGGTTGGCTTGAGATAGCCTGCCTGTTTTATTCCCCCCCCCAAAAAAATTAATTATTGTGGGTTCCTCCCTTTCAAAAACTATGAGCTGGAAAGCTAACGGGATTAGATCAGATTTGAGCATGAAGCACTGTATCTTGATTTAGCTTTTGGAAATAATCTAAAGTAATTTCCCCCCTTATATGGAGTTATGTGATAGTTTGAGATTGCAGCCTGTGTTCTTGACAGCATGGGAGGAGGAGGAGGAGGAAGAATCAGAAGAAGAATCAGAACCAGAAGAACCAGAAGGGAGAAAGAAGAAGAAGAAGAAGAAGAAGAAGAAGAAGAAGAAGAAGAAGAAGAAGAAGAAGAAGAAGAAGAAGAAGAAGAAGAAGAAGAAGAAGAAGAAGAAGAAGAAGAAGAAGAAGAAGAAGAAGAAGAAGAAGAAGAAGAAGAAGAAGAAGAAGAAGAAGAAGAAGAAGAAGAAGAAGAAGAA